TATTGTTATGTATTATATATAATATAGCATAGAAACTACAGAGAAAAAGAAACTAGCCTTCAAAATCTAAAAAGCTCTTGGGAAAACACCTTCTTGTTCTCCACTCTTCAACATCTGCATCACATTCCAAAAGCTTCTGGTAGAGATAAAAGGTGCTAAACACAGATCATTATGTCTGCCTGGTAAGAATTAAGACAGGGTCATACATTTCCTCTTACCACAGTTCATATTTACCAGTCTGTTAATTAATCAGCTGGTTTTCTTCAAGCATTCTTTCTAACATGCAAGAAAAATTCTCATATAGTACCACCCTTGTTTTCTGATTTCTGCAAAGGGAACCAATTACCTACTACCCGGAATAGAGGATACCAGAATGGCAGTCAATAAAGCAGTATGTTCAATTTAGTACTGCAGCTATTAGGCTTCCTAAAGTACCCACTCCAGAAAGACCTTCTGTAGAAAGAGCAGCTCCTAGAAAATAATCTTGCATCAGAAGCAGGGATTGACTACTGTAAAGGTTCCCAGGCAAACAGCTGTTCCTGTGCATTACATACTGACACCATCTCAGATTTCTTCTAGAAGCCATCCCATCTTCTTTTCCTCCTCACATCTCTGTTGATTAATCAAGAGACTTGAGGTTGACCTCAATTATGAACCAACAACTTCTGTTTAACATGCATAAAAAGAGAAGTATGTAAGATGGGGAAAAAGAGAGAAAACAAGCCTTGAAGAAGTCCTGCTTTCCACTCTGATCTGCCAGCATTAGGCAGACATCAGACCTCACGGAGGAAGCCTTCCTTCTTAAACTACCAGCACTACTGTATTTGATCTCAACTTTCTCCTCTGCTTCCCCCATCACTAGGCCAGGAAGCACTATTTCTCTGTTGCCTTTTCTCCCCAGATGAAAACCACTCCCCAAAAGCTAAGCTACAGAAGCAAATCAGGAAGGGAAAAAAAAAAAAGAATCACAGCAAAACACCCCTATCTTCACAGATTATAAAGCCCTTTAAGGTGAATATTGTCTCCACTCTGGAGACTGCGGTGGTGTTACAACAGGAACAAGGTATTAAGATAAGGCATTCCTTAATTCACTAGCTGTCTTCCTTCTTCATAAAGGTGCCTAAAAAAAAAAGATTTCCTTTGTGAATTCACTGGACTTTTTAAAATTATCAACACGAAAGTTGTATTAGAAAGTGGAATATGCTACAGTACTTTTTCAATATCCTTTAGTATTTTAATAATTGCTTGAAAAATGTCTTTAATAGAATGTTTTATAATAAGCAGTTATTTACAAGGTCTTTAAAATGGTGACTGTGTGCTCTTAGCAAGACTGCTGATTATGATGGGCTTTTTTTAAAATTCTAGAAGAATAAAAATAAAAAATTTATTGAGAAATTTGCCTTTTGTCAAGATTTGCTGACACACAATCAGCAGTAGTACACTGCAAGAAATTCAAGGTTACTCTAGGTAACAACCAAGCATAACCAAACCCAGGGTCTTTACTGAACCAAGAATCCAAAACTCAGCAACTGTGTTTAAATAATACCAAGAATAACTCACCCAAAGAACTAAAATAGCATTATTACAAAAAGAGTTAATCCTGTTGGATGCATTCAGCAGCTGCATTCTTTAGATTCAATCAGTTAAAAAATTTAAGTCTTGATCATTGAGGGAACTCTGGATTTTGCTTTTCAGCAACAGACGCCTGCCTGGCAGAGGGCACTGAAAGGAAGTGCCAGCAAAAGACTTCCGCTGCAGGAACAGCAAAGGACCTCTTGTGTCCAGGGAGCAGAACTGCAAAGACTACTTTCCTTCAGAGTGAAAGATCAACCCACTACATGTGCAAAAGGAATGACAATTGCTTGATTCAATTTCTACACCTGATTCATGTGCAATGCCATGGAAGTATTACTGGAAAATTACCTACACATTAAGACTTGGAGGAACACCTACGGAGTATTGCTTGTCTGCATATCGTGAAGGGCAAATAAGGTTTTTTTATTTATTCAAAAGGTTTAGAAAAGCAATCTGAGCAATCTTCTTTCCCCTTCCTTGCTCTATGCACCGTATATCCAGGCTGGCCACCACTGAGGAGAGCTTCCACTCCTGCTCAGGTCTGGAAGGGAAGAGCAAGGCTTTTCTGAGGCACTATTGAGCTGTACTTGCAGAGCTGAATCAGCTCTTTAGACTTCAAGAACAGTCCAACTAAACTAAAACTACAATTTTGAGTTTATACTCTTAAACAGAGAGTTCACATGTTTCCAAAGCATAGGTGGTCCTAATATTTTTCTACTGTACATGTGGAAGTCTTCAAGTCTCTGGAAAATTGAGGCTAACCACCTTCTCCCTCTAACTCCCTCTTCAATCTTATTGACTATAGAACATACAGTAGAAGTCATTAAGCTACATTTCACAGTTTATGGTTTTAATGGTTTTGCAACATTAGATGCACAACACATTTTCAAGCACCAAAAACTAGGCTTTGCTATCTAACATTTCATAAAGATAATAAAAGTTAATGAGCACTCATGATCTATGGTCTGACAAGACATCTGTTCTGTTCTTTCCAAAATAAAACACTCACCCTGCCTTGTTGTGGCACAGTGGGAGAGAACAAATATAAACCAATTCATCATTCTAAACTATAAGCTATATTAAGTTGTAGTTTCTCAACAGGCTTTTCATACCCCATTGCTAATAGGGCACAAGTGTCCTAAAAACAATCTTTCAATGCAATAATTAAATCCTGCTAACTTCACATGGTCAACTGCAGCAGACAGTACTGCTCAGCATTTCAGCATGAAAAATACCTGTTCAAAACAAGCAATAACAAGGTTGCTGTTGTACCAAGGGTCCAGTATCAAGAGCTCTATTCCCATTTTCTACATATTTTCGTCATGTTTTTTTATTACAAGAGTATTTTAACAAAATTTCATTCTGACCTATCAAGGGAGTACAAATATTACAAGAAATACTACAAGATACTTCATACGGGACATGACTAACATCAGCATGGGGGAGGAAGGAGCAATCTGCTTCTGAACCGTTTGTGAGGCTGTAAGAGGGAGATCTGTCATAGGGAACTGTTGAGAACATTAAAATTCTGCGCTCCGTTACAATGCAAAACCAGTTGCCAACCATTTTAAGAATACTGTTTGAGACCAAATTCAGCTTGTTGATACCTACATCACCTACAGTAAAATACAAAAGTGTAAGTGCAAAAAAAAGAAAAAGAATCTGATTTTTTTTTTCCCCTTCACTCAGCCTTATGGTATGACATGTTTTGGACACCATGCAGGAGTACGCAAGGTTTCCATTTCCTGCAAACTGCTGTATATTACCATGAAACAGAACACGTGAAATGAAAAAAGAAAAAAAAAAAATCACAGATTGCATAGTAGTTAATGAACAACGGTATCTACAGTAAAACCCTCGGATAAAGATAAAATCCCAGTTTACATAAAGAAAACAGAAATACATAATTCCTGACAAATACCTTGTATTGCTCAAAACACTGTCCTGCAATCAATCTACCTTGCAGAGGCACACAAAGAAATAAGCCATATAGCTAGGGAACCAAGCACTGCCCAAGCGTGCAGAATAACGCATTTCTGCTAACGGAAGGATCCAAGATAACTGGGATTTAACACTAAAACTCCTCACAGCCTCAAACATCTAACCTATCTAAACAGTCTAAGCTTCCTAGAGCATGCCAGAGACGAACAGCATCTCTCCACTGACTGAAGCAACAGTCTAACCAGCTTTCACCAGATTGCCCTGCTGGAAAAGTCTGCTCTTTCGGCTAACTAAAAGCAGTATTCTCCTTAAGTTGCAGTCACAAACACTGCGTAAGAATTTAAACCACCATTTATGCACACATGTGCACAAACAGAACCGAAAGGGAAATAAAGCTAGTAAGTCTATGTATAAAGCTTAGCCCAAAGGAAAATTACTGTCGCACCACTGAATCAGATGGTCCACAGATTTCTCTCTCACATCCCCAGAGAGGTTATGTATGCTTTAGATTAAAATAAGTAAAATCTGAAAAAATAGCACCAGGTAAGCAGCCTAGACAAATCAGCTGGTGAACTCGGGCTACACATGTATTATTAGCACTTAGTGTAGGAAAACATGAATGGATCAGTAGCAAAGAGTTTGTGCTGAGGACCTGAATCTTAAAATTTACGTGTAAGGGGGTTCACTATGCCTGAACTCATTTACTAACTCTTCAGATCACCTCTTCAGATCAGTTAAGTCTTGCAGACCTAATTAGATGTTCATCCATTAGCATTTGATTAATTTGTAGATCATGTTTTTCTGTTTAGTTTCACCTGGAGAGAATCCAGTTTGCATTCTCTGAAGCAAAAGCATGAGAAGCAGGGATGACCAGATTAATTAAAAAAACCAAACCACACAAAAACCAAAAACCACAAACACGAACAATGAAACAAAACCAAAAAAACCACTCCTAGCCTGAACCAAAACGATAATGTAATCCTACCCTAGGGTCCCTAAAAAGCAGTTATGCAAATGCATCATCTACCTCAACATGTGCAGCTACTTATCATCAAAAACATATGCTGATGAGCCATTGCTGTGTATTTTTACATACTATTTCTGTAATATATTCTAATTTTATATAAATTTTGACATGAGATTCTAATTATTATAGTCTTGCCAGTTAACCTCAATAAGCTTAAGTTCCTTCCTTGTGCACTTGCTTATGTCCACCCGTACACTTTGACAATGCCTTCTCAAATGCTGCTTCCATGACAATTTAAATTACAGTAAGATGAATAAAATCTCAGGGGAAAAAATAGAATAAACCACCCACGAAGACACACAAACTTGTCACATTCAGATTCTGGTAAAAATATTAAAATTTAATAATACCTTTTGAACATACAATTATGTCAAGGAAAGAGTAAAGGCATTCAGACAAATGGATATAGATCTTAAATAATATTTACAAATTCTAAACTGCAAGTTGACTATAAAGTCAAATACTTTAAATATTTAGTAGAATATAGTGTAAATTCTAATATAAATTAGATATTAACTTCATCTGTTATTTTTCCAGTGATAACAGTCTTACCTTTACATACTATATACATTAAAATACTAAAAAGTTATAAAATTTTATTTCTGTTACTCTGCAAAGAAATGGAAAATACATCAGATCTGTCTTCCTGTACAATATCGAAATTGAACTTTCTATAGTGTTCTCTGCAAAAATAAACAGCACTTTCACATGCAACAAGGCATAAAGTACAAGTCCGTCCATTAGTAGTATGCCATCTGAGTGCAAAGTAAACTGAAATGCAAATGCCATTCAACCATATAGTTGAAAACCCGAAGTAAACTGTGGAAAGAGATTCTGACAAACTTTCTGATTCAGACTGAAGTAATAATGAAAAGCATGTAAACTGATTTCCATCAGATCCATCATTTTAAAAAATGAAACTACAGCATACTGAGAAGTTTGTCGTGACGGTATCAGTTACTTTGACAACACATAATGTAGGAAAAGCTGATGATCCTGTACGAGTTCTGAAGCCCAGCCCTGCCAATGGGCTGCAGCATCTAAGCTGCTTTTCTATTGACAGTTTCCAAAATTACTTCTGCCACTTTGAATTGCACATCAGTAGTCAGATGAGTCCTCTAGACTTCACTATGCCATTGTGTAACCATAGCTTCCACAGTGCAATGCTACAAGCAGCCTGTCCTTAAGTATTTCTTTACTTGGGTATTCAGGTAACTTGAGCATGTTGATACTGAAAAGAAAAAAAAAAAACCACACCACAGTTCAGCAAGAAACCCAACAGTAAAGTTTTCTGATTGAAAACCCTGAAGATGTCACGTTTATGGAAGAAAACAAACCTGTGCTGCATTACAGTATCATTAAGCATTTCAATATATTGCAGGAAATTAAGGGGTTTTTTTCACTTCAGTAAATTGTAATACAATAATTTAATTTGAATATTCCCTTATTGATCCCACTGCCTTTAGTTAAGCAAAATGAAGGAGTAAACAGTGAGCAAACATAATGTAACATCATCTGGGTTAAAACCCACCACTTTCATGTTGGATAGTGAATACTCCACAAACTGCCTAAATTTTTTTTTTGGCCTTTTAATGAAAATATTCAAAAGAATTGTACTTTTGACTGTGACTAACAAGAAAAAGCCCTGTTTTTAAGATTTTTTCCAATGAGACTAGTTAACATACCATGTGCTTGATGTTGGTAAAAGATTTGCAGTATACGGCACAGCAGCAATTGTAAAGTTTTGCAATCCACTGCCACCCATTATATGGGCAAAGCCACCATGAGGCACCCTGGAACTGAGAAAATTCACAGAAATTAGACCTTTACAGGAATGTTATAAGACACTGCAAATATCTCTTACTGCTAGTAATTAGACAGTTACTAATAATACCTTTATCAAGGTTCCCTCTTTCTTACCCACATCAAAATTCTCATTGTCTAAGTGCTTTTAGTTACAATATTGAATAACGCATTTGTCCATTTACATTAGGCATCAAATTGTTTGAATGATATTTAAGAGAATTCTGTTTGCAAAGAGGACTCATTTCTACAACCAGTTTTTATAACAGAACATTATCTCAGTTTAGGCAAATATCTATGGTTATTTATATTTACAGTTTAAGAAATACTGCATCATAAAAGGTTTATTCTCCGATTACTATCCGTGGGACAACTGACCAAAGTGTCCTTGACATGTCTTTTCATTTACTACTTCAGACCAAGTATTTCAAGAAACTAGTAAAACCATTACATCAGTTACACTATCACCCAGTGACAACCTATGGCAAAACGAGAACACACTAAAAAAACAAATCACTAGCATCTTCAGGAAGGCATTCTCACTTAATCATATTACTCAATTTTTTTTTCCTTTTACCAATGTATTATTCAAGGATTACTCAAAGTGTAAATGGACAATAACTCCGTAGTCTTCAGAGTCCCTCCCTATAATTTTAAACTAACAGAGACAAATAGAATAAAAATCAGGTATTTTTATAACATCAACTTAAGCCGGTATGCATTACAAGGTAACATGTTGTTAGCACAGCCCTCACACCAAAAAAAAAAACCAGAAAACTATAATGAAAAGATAAGGACTAAAGAAGTTGAATGTGAGCCAGCAATGCATCCTTGCATCAAAGAAGGCCAGCAGCCTCGTGGGCTGCATCAGGAAGAATGTCACCAGCAGGTCAAGGGAGGTGATCCTTTCCCTGTACTCTGTGAGGAACATCTGGAGTCCAGCTCCCAGCTCCCCACTACAGGAGGGACAAGGACATACTATAGCAAGTTGAGCAAAGGGCCACAAAGATGGTAAGGGATTGGAGCACCTGACACAGGAAGAGAGCGAGCTGGGACTGTTCAGCCTGGAGAAGAGAAGGCTCAGGGGAACCTGATCAATGTATATAAATATCTGAAGGGAAGAATAAATAAGATGGAGCTCAAGTCTCAATATGGAGCACCCAGTGGTGCCTAGTGACAGGACAGGAGGCAATGGGCAGAAACTGAAATCCAGGAAACTCCATTTAAACATGCAAAAAACCTTTTTTACTCTGAGTTGGTCAAACACTGGAACAAGTTGCCCAGAGAAGCTGAGGGGTCAGCACCCCTGGAGACAGTCAAAACCTGACTGGAGAAGACCTTGAGCATCCAGCTCTAGCTGACCCTGCTCTGAGCATGGGGTTGAACTCGACAAGTTCCAGAGGTCCCTTCCAACCTCAGCTATTCCACAATTTTGTAGCTAGCAAAGAAAGAATCTGATAAAACAAAATAAAACTTCCATAAAATATAAAACAGCTGTTAGAATTTTGGATTACAGATACTTACATTAAAAGCAATGCTCCCATATTCACAAAATCAAAGTGACTGTAAAAACCAGGAGGAAGAATGGAAAAGAAGAATAAAGTAATGTTTCCACTCACAGTGAAAACTACTTGGCAAAAATGCAAAAGAGTAAGGGTCACTACTGTCAAATGTTAGGAAGCTAGGACACAGCTAGCAGTAACACTTTTTAAGCATACCTTTAAGAGCTAGCTATAGTATCCAACAGATAAATCTGCATCATGTAGCTTAATGACAGCAACGTTGGGCACATAGTTCTGGCACTGGTATGTAAGGCAACCATTATGGAGGGAAGAACTGATTATTTGCAGCATACTATTTCTGACATACAAATGGAATTGTGCTCACAGCCACAGTTCAGAACAGTTATAAAGATTTTACAGTGGTACTGTTTTATCTTTTACACTATGTTTTTGGCTCGCATTTCTAATGCAGCGCTGCCTCCCCTGCACTGACTTTTTTTCCCTCTGATGAACCAAGAGAATTCCACATTCAAATCAGCAATAAAACACAGATCTAATTGTTGAAAATTTCTCACTCACTAATTTCAGCCCACTATTAGCTAAAAGTTTTTACAATCTAACTTATTAAAATGTTTTTCATACAACAGGTCAAAATCATATCGTATGATCAGGGCTTTGAACATTTAAAAGTAACAGATGGCTGCCAACTTATGTCTCCAAGAATGAGTTTTCTTTCCAAGCAAAACACGACCAATATAGTAAAGAAAGCCTTCCAAATATGTGCAAATAAGACCACAAGATCTTACCTCTCTTACTGCATGTGCAAATAGCCTTCAGCAAGAGCAACAATACAATTTCATAGCTTTGGAGACTGCAACACTATTAAAATGTTTAAGTTTACATCTGAATCCTAACTTTTCTACCTATTTTTCCACTTAACAGATTTTGCATACGTTTACTTGAAAAGAGTGTAGAAGAGATACTTTAAGCCAGTTTCCTTATGTTTTGTTTTACTTTTAAAAATATTCATATATACCCATCACATTTATCAAATATGATTAATTTCCCTTAAAATAGCATACAGCTTATTACTCAACAGAAACTACAGTCCCCTAAGGAGTTAAACAGCAATCCCGATACCAATAAAGTAGAATTTATCATGATAAGCTGTCAACACTTCCCTCCAACTGTTAACTAAAAACCTGATCAAAAGTTGCCAATAATTAACAATAATTTAGCCAAATACTATCATAAACACCAAACAGATCAAGAGGGAAGGAAGAAAAAAAAAAAAGTAGGTGGTGCATAAGTAAACTTTCAGATCCCCAACATGAGGCACAAGAATATTTAGGCTTTTTCTTGAATGTGCTAAGATCTCCAAACACACAGAATCTGCTATTCAAACATTGCTCACAACAAATACTTTACTGTTAAAAGATGTCTCAAAATTGGTATTAATGATGAATTGGTATTAACGATGAATGCAATGGTATCTCCAAGCAAGACTTCATTACATCGAAGAGAAAAGAGTGCAAGAATACGGGAAGAAGACAAAAGGCAAAGTTTAAGAAATATTTAGAGATGTCAGAGAAACACTGAAGACAATCATAAATATAACTGTTTTATTTAATTTGCTAAATTAATTTCATAGTCTTTGATTGGAAAGAAAGAATAGTACCACTTCACACACACAAAAAAAATCAGGTTAATGAATATGCAGAAGAGATTAAAGGGAAATGGAAAAAACAATGAGAATTTTGAATGCAGCCTGCCAACGAGTACACACAGAAACAAATTCGTCACTAAGGAAATGCGATGCCAGAAAAAGATCATAGTTTGAAATCGGGTATACGTTTAGTGTAAAACTTTACTTAAGATACTGGCCTGTCCTAGACTAACTGGAGTTTTAGCTCACAGACAACACAGCATCTAAATCTTCCATGCCCAGAAACTAGGACTGTCTGCGAAGTTATGTGCAAAAATGCCAGCTGCATACCACTATTACAGGTAACTTTCAATAGTTAGTTTTTTACGGAAGAACATACCTATTACATTTCAATCACTGAAGAAAAAACACAATGGGTTCCTACTAGCTGATACAGAAAAAAACTAAGCAATTTGTTTTTAAATTCCAGCCCAGAGTTCTTAAAAGAGATACCAAAAATTTCTTTCCTACTAACAAGAAATGGGTAAGAACAAGTCAGTATGTGATTTGTGACCAAAATGAATGTTGCTTAGGCACATATTAATCAGACAACATAATTGTTTACTTGATAGAAAGCGTCCCTTAGAAACCAGCAGATTATCCCAAATGCCATGAAAATAGTGAATGCCACTTCAGTGTCATTTGGAATGTTTTAAGAAGCATCTGAAACATGACCTTACATCTAAAAGATCCTTATTTGCCGTCTAGATTTAGAAATGCACTGGTCCACTAAAAATGAAAGACCAGCAGCTGGCGTGCAACAGATGTGCAGTTAGAACTGCAGGAATCATTTCTGCAGAGGACAAAAAGAAAAGATTGATGTGCACAGAACTAGCTTCTTAAATTATCTGTGATCCCTAAAACCAATGAAATTCACGATATATCAAGTGAAACTAACAGAATTTGAAGACTGTGCCATTTGACGATACATCCGTGACTGAAATTCCTTGGTATAAAAGACAAGGTTTGATGATCTTAATTTGTATTTTATCATTACTTAACCACAAAACTTATAAACAAAAAGTCAACTACTCTACTAATCCTAGAATATGAAGGAAACATCAGATTAAGAAGATGGTGTGATCTCCACCTGCCACCAGAAAAAGACATGGATTACACAGCTCAGCTGCCACATGTATGTCTGTAGATCCACTTTGCAAAATGTCTATATACACAAACTCAGCAAGTCACCCAGCTCACAGGGGTATTTATTGCTCAAAACCTTCCCCCACTGCCCCCAAACCGTAAAGGAAATAGAAGTGGCCTTCCCTGAAAAGCAACTAGAATTTAGGACAGAAATCCTATATAAAGCAAACAGAGTTTTGCATAAGGTTACATCTTCACTTGATCTTGACACACTGCACTAATGTTAAATTCAACTCAGCTTTAGGAGAAGGATGTTCTGTTTACACTGACTGAAGTGATACTTAGTTCTCTCACATATTAAAGCCTATATTGATTACTGGAGAAGCCAAGAGCCCCATAAATATGCAACAGGAAGAAGAATATAAAGCGCAATTAAATTCACTACTGCCTTGTTAAAAATTGCCTGGCACAGCAACTTAACTATACAAAGGCCTCCTGCAAAGTAGTTAAGCATAATAAATAAGCAATCAATAATTTTGCTGGCAATACAGGCAGCAAAAATATTAACACACATTTTGTCTACTTTGATTAACATATGGAATACCAAAGTATGCAAAACAGTTTCTAGCTAGATGATCATGTATGGTAATCTGAAGTCTCTTGACTTATTTCAGAGTATCCAGACAATATATTCATTGTTACAGAAGAGTTTCTCACCTGCCTGTAACAAACTGTAACAGCAATACTCTCTCTTCCTGAGTTAGTTCTTCCACAACGTCCCAAAACCACTAAATGAAAAATAAGTTAGTTTGTATTTTCCATTAAATACTTCCAGTACTTGAAAAGACAATGGTAAAACAATAAATGGAATATTTGTGTGTTAAATGATGGTAATTTTTATATGAAATTCATACAGAACTAAGTCACTTAATATAGCAACATAGTATAAAAAACTTCCACAAATTTCAGCCAAAATAAGCTTCCATAAACACACACAGAAAATGACAACAACAGCAGCACCACCACCTTTTTTTTTATTAAAATGCAACAGTCTACATTATTAAAAAAATAATTTTACCTGTATAACTTGGTCTCCTCTCTCATAGCCACTGGTGTATTCTGTATTTTTTAACCAATCATTCACATCAATTTCTGGCATACCAGACAACAAAAGCTCCTTCAGAAGAAGCACACAGATTGTGATTAGTCCTCCTGACTAGCCATTCATTTCAAATGTTTATGCTATTTTAAAAAGTAACGCTTTAAGAAGCAGAAAAATTACAATGCTTTTTCTGTTTAGTTGCAACCTTATGGAACCTACGACTGAATTTTAATATAAGAAGGTTCTTGAATTCAGGTAACTTCACATGGTCTGTTTAAATTTAAGCACACAGTATCAAGAGGTAGAAATTATTGCCAAAGAACCTAAAAGAAAAAAGCTCCGAGTTTTGGCATGACTTGAGACAAAACCTGAGATGTCTTGGTTACAGAAGATCAAACCACACACAAACTTACTGGAATTTGATTCTGTGACTCAGAAAAAATAAAGACAATAGACAGCATCTCCTTACTTTTAAAGAACTTCTGTAGTCCGAAAGAAAATATGAAAAGGTTTAAGGGCCACAACATACTGATCCCATTTTGAAACTACAATTTAAGGCATCTATCACTGGCATGTGAAGTTATCACATTCCAGGAAGATGGTCATTGTAAGTAATTAGGATAAGCAGGAATACACATATTGAGATCCTCACTGATAGATGCCCAGGAAGCAAAACCAAAGTGAAAGATACAAAATGTTTATGTTGTGGATACTGAGCTTTACTTCCACATCATTACATTAGTGATGAAGTATGCTGAACAAAGTATTAAAAAAAGTATAGGCATTTCTGCTTACCAGTTCATATTCATCAAAAAGCTGGATCAAAGATGGTGGAATGAACATATGGAAGCCTTGTAAAAAGGCATTTATCTGAGGCTGAATGGCTCTTGTCATTCTAAGCTCTGTGACAAGCTGGACATACTCAGCCTGCAATGTAGAAAACAACATTAAGATATACAATAGCAAAAATATATAGTGCCCATGCAAACTCACACACACAAAAATGCAGTCCTCAATACATTACAAATCTCATCTACTGTAAGATGTTAAGAGTCCCTATGCACTTTTTCACACATGGAAGCAACCCAAAATAATTCAGAAGGCCCCTCAGAGGTCAGAGCCCCTTCTGCTCTTCCCCTTTCTTTCCTTCCAAAAAACAATTCCCAAACAGAAGCGTTTAAATTGTAATACAAACGAGTCAAAAAACAGGGACTTGGACTAAAATAAAGGAAGTGAATAAAATTTAGTTTGTCATGCTTCATCTTATACAACCACTGTTGTGATGATCTAAGGACATAAACAAGGGAATGTTTGTAAAGAGAAATATTCTATTAAGCAAAATGACATAACTCAGGAAAAAGGGTAAACTTCTGAAGGAATATTTGTGAGCCAAAAAGCTTTCTTGCTTTCCCCCCTCTCTCTGGAAGTCTAACAGAATATGTTACTTACCCCTGCAAGCTTTGTTGTCTTAGTAACAATTTCAATTTTTTTAAGAAAATCTTGAAAATCTCCTCAGTTTTCAAAAAGGAAAAAAAACCAGAAAAGCATTTATACCAGAACCATGTGAATAGACAATATCATAGTTTGCATGCTTTAGAAATCTGGGGGCTCCGTCCCCTTTAAAAGATGCCAGTTAGAAAAGGAATCCACCAGAACTTTGCTTTTGTTCAAAACACAAAAGCCTAGGAGGCGGTTACTGGAGGAAGGTTTTTAGAATGAGACAGACAAAAGTGCCTACATTAAAGCTGTATAAGCATGTCTCATCTACCCTGACAAAACTATGCAAGTCTAATAAAGTTTCTTTACCCAAGAAAAGAGATTTCTACTTGAGAACAAAATATATTCCTAGATTATTTAGGGTACTCAGTTTCAAAGTAATGCTTTGACTTCCTAATCATGATTTTTAATAATGAAATCATGAAACATATCTCCCAATTAAACCATCTCAGTTATGACCTTCGTTCAAGATAATAATCTTACAAAAATACTACCTTGATTTTTAATTTTAAAAACATTAACCTAAACTTTTAGGTTCTGAACCTGCACAAAAACAACCAAGCATTCTTTCCTTCCTCCCTTTCAGAAAAACAGAATGAAGTATCAAACTTTGAAAAATATTACTCTGTTTTGAAAAGGCAGTTCTTTACATTCATGGAAGTACAGAGGGGTTGCCATTTGCTTTGCAGCTGGAAGATACTTTTAAATGCATTACCACCATTTTATTGGAGTGAGAAGACAATTACTTTGTGAAGTGCTCAGAAGAGGAACATTACCTAATCATATCTTCAACTGCAGAGCTATTCCCGAAATTCTAGTTTCAATCTAGTAATCTCCCTAGGTTGTTTCTACTGTCAGTGGAACTGACGATACCTTCCTTCTCTCTAAGGAATTAGAGGGGTAGCCAAAGGAGATTAACTGCACTAGACAAAAGTCAGTCTCTGTGAGTACATCTTACATGCTCTAGGAAAAAATCAGAAACTTTAGCAATATCAGGATTAGAAGTAGTGTTAACACTGGTCTTCAATGATCAGAAATACTTGGTTTACATCTCTTAAGTTGCTGTTACATAAATTAGGCTATTCAGAAAACAGGGTTGTAGAAAGAAAAATTCACGATCTTATTTTAAAAAATCCATTAGAAAAAATATGACAAACACTTATTTTCTGCATTACAAAAATATTTACATTGAACACTTTCATTATGAGAGAAAACAGTTGCTGTGCTTTAGGTGTAACAAAAAAATGTTTTAAATAGCTTGGAACACCAAGCATTCTGATTATCAGCACTGGTGCATGCTGAAAGACCTGTACCACAGAATTTACATAATATATGCCTGTAAAAAAACTCGTCAATTTGTTTTTCCCTCTGTTCACTTCATTTTATTCCTTCTCAGAAGCCTTAGGAGCACGTTACAAAACAGAAATATCTATATAATTTCAGATCTACATATGCATCCCTACATAGTGCATAAAAGGTACAATCCAGCCTTCTTTTAAGAGGGGAGATTTGATTGAACACACATGAGAGGGGCATCACAAATATGATGACAAAGTCTAGTTTGGGTGAGGGGTTACTTTGTATTTTCCTTTGAGGTAACTCAAGCAAAGATCATGCTTCCCTGATTTCACAACCCCATATACTGTGAGACAAGAATCAATGTTCATTATGCTGTTCAGATTCAGAGAGCAGCTCCATTCCAAAGCTGTTTGAAACAAGCACGTAATTTTTTACTGCCAAACAGCACAGCCAGCTCACAGACAGACAAGTCCTGGAAAGACAGAGAAAGCCTAAGGATTGTGGAGATTTGCATCATTTTTTAAAATAGCATATGGTCAAACTTTGCCTAGCTCTAATTTTATTTTTTTCCTAAAAAATAAGTAGAAAGCTGCAAAAATATACACAGCAAAGAACAAAGAAATGCATAGCGTGGACACTGGATGAAGCCAGACTTTTCCCTTTGAAGTCTCTCCATTACCATGACAAAAGGCAGTTGAACCACTGCTATAACCGATACTTCAGTTGGAGTTACATGGACCTCCAACTGCAAGACTGGAATGTTTATATCGTATGGTCCCACAACCATTCACCTATTGCACAGCTGATGTAAAAAAAAACAAAATTCCCTCATTCAAAGAAAACAACTTTTTACAAACAGCGGGGGGGTGGGGGTGTTTTTTGCATGGGTTTTTTTTGTGGGTTTGTTGATTTGTTTTTTTGCGGGGGGGGGGGGGAAGGGGGGGGTTTGGTTTTGGTTGTGGTTTTTTTTTTAAGGAATAAAGATTCAATCTCATTTTTTAAAAAAATGCTATCCTTTAAACAGGTAATCTGCTAGTGTGCATACACAGCAGACTCCTTTAGAAGCTGAATTTTCTTCTCCAGAGGTATAGCAAATACGAGTTTTAAACAGTGATCTTTTATTCTTCAGCTAAAGGCAGAAAAAAAAAAGCTCTCTCCTGCAGGAAAAAAAGATGTTTTATAAACTAAAGACGACACTTTCCTATTTAACCTGTTAGAACTGCTAAGCTAAAACATACTGCAAAACCACGTCACATTAAAGAAATTGGGAAAAAATCCCCAAATGCCAGTAAAACACAGATCTACAATTTTCAACAGCTTGGTTCGCCATTGTCAAAATCAGTGAACAAGAGACAGTGCCATCTTACAAATGTTTGTTGACTTCACCTTTTGCAAGTTCAAATTCAAAAATCAATATTAACAGTTTCAAAGCTACCACAACATTCATGTGTTCCTTACCACCTTTCAAATAACAGCTACACAAACTCCTGTCCCCTCCTGCCACAGCTGAGGAAGGCTGATGAGCTAAAATGGATGCATCTGTTCTACACATATTCAACCACCCTTTTTAGCCAGTGCCCCAAGTCAGAAGTTAACAGAGCAATGTAAGCTACTAATGACTGAGGGTATCCTCCTGTTGGCAAACTTCTAATTTCATGCTAACTGATAACAGTTTTTAAACAGTTGTTATGAAACCACAATTTATGTCAAGTACATCTATTTTATATATTGAGAAGCTATAACTGCCCAGAAACAAGAATCAACATCCTTGCTTTCTCTGATAGGTAATAAAGAAATTAATCATGCACTGCCTTGACAATTAGACTCATTTTACCATGTGTATTCTTTCATGAATGACTATATTGCAGGAAACAGCGCAGAATCAGGCTAATAATATGTATTTCTGTTATTGGAATGACACTCTGCCTTAATGAAAATGAGGATTAAGCATACAAGAATCCAGTGCCAATTGCTCCAACAAAAACTAAAATTTTGTTAGAACAAATGCTGACACCAAGTGGCCATTTACCAATACAGCAGCTGTCTACGCGACTGGTAGCGCTGAATGAATACTGTGTACACAAAGCAAGTTAGGCTAGCTCAACACAAATGAAAAATCAAAACACAAAGCAGACATAAGGATTAAAAGAGGCAATCATCCAAAAAATTGCAGGTCTACCCCTGACACTCCTGCAGTTACTCAAAACTACATAGTGGGTAACTGCAGAATTCAATTCGACTGATGTCTATCTTAATTTCTAGATGATTTTCAAAATCTGGCTGTGTTTTTCCATATTCGTTTTTGACCTAATGCTGCAGAGAACTCAGGGACTTTCCAAGCTGTTACTATTAAAGTAAATTTAAAAGGTAGATTATTTCCATACACAGAGCAAGTGACTTGCAAATGGCTGAAAAAGCTTCCTGTAGCCTTTTACTCCGTCAATTATCCGTATGTTACTATAGAGCAATCCAGTGCCATAGACTGTCCTAGCAGGAAGTACACTTTGCAACATTACCTACAGTTTTACTTTTAGCAATTACTACTGTTTTACCTTCCCGGTATATATACTCATGACTTTAGGAGTATTTGTAACTTTTAAAATAAACCCGTCATTTAAAGTTGATGCTATTTTCCTTCCAAAAGTTCCGTCAGAAAGAACCACCTCAAACCTGAATACTTACAGAGATTTTAAATAGTACTATTTCTGTAACAAAAAGAAAAAAAGAGGGAGAAAAAGAGGGAAGAGTGTTGGCAGCTTTTTTTTCCTGTATTTCCTTCAAAACAAGTATACCATTTATGCTTCCAGTTATTCAGAAAGTCAGTCCAATTGCTTTTCTTATACTATCAACTTCTAAATAAACCTGTATACTCACCTTGTTTTCCTGTGTAACAAGTATACTTGCACCCCCTGGCTTCAGTGGCACTTCTTCCATTGCTCCAAACACATCAGTCTCAACAGAGAAGGTCAGCTCCAAACCCAGATCACTGATATCATTATCTAAAATCCACTGCAAGTTCTTTGCATACTCTGGATCAATAGATGCTACATCCTGATAATTTACAGGTATACCTAGAAAAAACAAAGAGACAAAACCCCTCAAAAAAATAGGATAAACAAAAAGGTTCTAAGTTAATATATGGTAGAAGATTGCCCTCTAGAGAGAAACCAGAATAATGCAGTAATAGGAAAAGGGATTCACCATTACTAACTACAGCAGAACTGTACTTACCACATTTTAACAGTATTAAAGAATCAAGTTTGCTCTGTATGTTTTTCTTCCCAGTGAAGCAAATGGCACACCACTTGAGCAACAACAATTTGCACAATTTTAGCTCTCTAACGCATTTCAGTAAAAGCATCTAACCATACAGAATGCACAATGTTACATGTGTTTCCTAAAAAATCTTAAGATTTTCTACATAACTTTTAGAAACCCAGGTATCATATTTCTCTATACAATAATATCTTTTCCCTCAGAAAATTATTTAGAACTGTGGAGAAAAAAAGACAACCTTTCTGTACTTAGAAAACTCTTTTGCTCTTCAGTTTCCTTCTTTTTAATCATTTTTGCTATGAAACCTACTATGCAGCTGAAGAAAATTTAGAGGAATTTTACATTTCAAATTGAACTTGCAAGTCATTTAGAAGCATTAAGAGGAGAGTTGCTAGAAGTTTGACTTTTACCCAAGTATAGAAACTGCCTATTTACAGCCCCTCAGCAAACATGGCACTCAAACAAATTTGAGCAAAGTTGCCCAGAACAAGGTGACCCTGAGTTTGTGCAAGAGAACTACCCTCTTCACTATACAAGAAAGCAATCCCCAACTACTTTAACTCTGTCACGATAGATATTTAACTCTACCATGACAGATTAATAGCTGGGAAAAGGGCCAGGGGCTGAGGATGGTAGTAGGTTTAGAGAAAAGCAAGTTATCGGGAAGTACTCACTGTGCTTCACCATCTTCTATGCATTGTGAAGTGTCACAAGGGTGCCCATTAGTAGAAGTCTTAGCACACTATGGACTACACAAGCATTACCCCAGAGAGTAACACAAAATTCAAAGGTTAGCAGCCAGTGCAAATATGAAGTGCAAAAACTGTTACAGTATTTCCCTGGAAGAGCTGACTAGTGCTGAAATGGTGCGTGCACAAGCTGTAAGGCATTGTTTTTCTAATAAAAATCAAGCAACACTCCAGTTTTAGAGAGGGATAGATAATTTACTAATTAATTTTCACTGTCATCTCTCAAAAAAAAAAAATTTAACAGCTGTCTAGTAATTTCTAGAGGACTTTCACTTTTGCCAACTCGTAAGCATATGTGCATTGCACATATGAAATGTGGAAGTAATGATGCCTGAGGGATGTAAGTAAAACATGTGGGAAAAGAAGCACACTGAGAAGTAGGAATCAGACTCCTTTAGAGAAGAAACTGAACTAGAGCGTTATGATGAGACTACACTCATAGTCAGAATGTTGTGAGACCAAAGCATTAAGCTCACTTGTTTGCTTGACAGGTATTTTACCAATCAATAGACTCAAGCCCGGCAGTTACAAAGAAACTCCGTCAGATTTATCAGGACAAAATTTGAATCCCATGAAATATTATGTATCTTTTGCTATACCCTTAAGGCACCGGTAGTTTGAAAAGGAAGAGAACTCTATCTTTGCATAATTGTGATAAACAGGTATTTCTGTGCAACACAGAACTTCAAAGAGATACTACAGGTAAGCTCTGAGACAAGTTCAGTAACTACTCAAGGATTTAAGGCCTCCAGCTCAATACACACTGATCCAGAAATTAATTTTTGCTTTTGTTTATGCCATTTCTAGGAGTATTTTCTATTATACTGTGAAAGAGGGGACTTAAATTCCTAACTGTGCTATCTGCTGTTAGACTTATCTGCTATGTGTCTTTGTGGGTTGGAGGAGAAAGTTTCCTTTTCCAAAACAGAAAAGTAATTGGCCCTTATAAAAAACACACAGTAACTGGACAACAGCACTAGTGAAACTATCTTCTCTTCCCCTGTTTAAGCAGAAGGCAGACAGACAGGCAGTTTGAGGAGAAAAAACCTAAGAGGCCTTATTAATTTCTGACTATATTTCTGCCTCAGTTCTACATCTGTAATAGAGTGCAGCCTAATAAACATGAAGACCTATGCAATAATGTTTGATTTCACGGCACACAAAAAAACCCCATGCAAGCTACATATCTAGCATCTTATAAAGCACATTCGTTGTGTGTTAGCTGGGTCACCACTTAAATTGATCTTTCCTTGCCTACCAGATATTGTTGCAGAAAGATCTCAATTCATCAGTGAAAAAAGGTGATGCACCCACCTGAGTCTCAAAAAAGTAGCCACATTTGTTCATACCGGTTTCGGCTTTTAATTAAGGCACTTCCACATCATGTCTGTTGACTAAAGAGAAGAGTTCCTTTGAAAGAGGTTCACACTGTTCCTCAGATACAGGAGACCTTACCACAAAACTGGTAGATTCAGTGCCATCAACAGGAAAGGCTACAGAAAACAAGGATCTCGGTGCAAGGTCATAAACCAAAGGAATGGAAACAGTCTCAGGCTTCGAAAGATTTCCTACTCCATTACTTAAGGCCTGACAAGTAGCTGAAGGGAATCTCTATGTCTGTAACCTGGTAATTTGTATTTGGCATGAACAACAGTTAGCATAACCCATAGCTGAACCTGAAACAAAAACAAAACAAAAACCCCTAGGAGCATCTGCTGCTGTGCAACTCGGGTTTCTTAAGCAAGAAGAGAGGAGATGCACAAAACTGAGGGAAAAGGCCTTGGAAAGGTTGAAATAAAGCACTGTGATTGAGGCAGAAAAATCAACTACTTTGGGAAGTGGAGGTGTAATTTTTCTAGTTCTCTGTGTCTGATAAGAAGTGATAAAAGCCTGTGAACCTTTTGAACTTAAAGAAGTTGAATGTGCACAAACCTCTAGAGTGCCAGGATGCCTGTGCAACAGAATGACAAGACCTTACTAAGAGGGACTGATGATATCTTATTAACAGACTACTCACCGCTGTTTGGTTTGCAAAAGTTATTCCAGCAAAATGAAAAAAAGAAAAAAGAGTAAACAATAGGTCATCTTGTCAATTCAGAAACCAACAAATCCAGTATATAATCACGACTCAAACTAGAAAAGAACCCAAATTAGTAGTCATTTCCAGAAGAGGTGACAAGAGCAACACTTGACTATTCTCAGAGTGTCACTGAACAGCAGAATAATACATTTTTCTCATTTGTGAATACGTCACAGATTAGCCCGTGAGCATCATTCTTCTGCTCACACAGAGGAATCTCTTGATGTTAGAGGTCAACCCTTAAGTCAGTGCCAAACTGTGCCACACAAAGATATGTCTACTTTGAAACCGCTTTCCTATGTGAAGATCAATGACTAGGGAAGCCTGATGAGGCATTGCCAACATGGTGCTGCTTCAGATTGGCTGTCCTCCATTGCCTCTTGCCCAGTACACAGTCACTCTCCTGCAGCAGAAAGCAGTACTGAGGGAGAGAAGAAAAACACATCCCTTTGTCAAGAAGATCTTGACAAAGATGACTGAGCTTGCACCGTCAACAAAGTGGAACAGCGTTCCCTGAACACTTTCAGGGAAGAGAAACAGTAAATCTGAAGCTGATCTGTTCTGGGCTCAGCAAACATCACAGGAAGACTGTAGGTAGAGAGAATGATTACAGAAAAACAGGATGAGATGCAAACAATCCCTTGAAAATCTTGCTAGGTCTTAAAGTAAGGAGTGGTTCTTGAGGAAAAGTAAAGCCTCCAACATCAAGCTATCTAATAAAGAAGATTAAACAGCGCTTAAACACAAAGGAAATTCTGTATGCAGCGGAAAAGAATTTATGTACTTGGAGGAGTAACAGGAACGCAAAAGGAATTTACCCTTCCATCACATCTTCATGCAAGAAGCAAAGTTCTTCATGACAATGCTGAACAGGGGCATCATATTTGACAACCAAGGGGCACATAGGTTCTCAAAGAAGAGCAGAGAAGAGCCCTAGACCACAGATACCACCAGCTAACAGCTGTCCTTCTCTATTAAAAAGAAAAGTTACATTTTTATAAAGACTTCTGACCAAGCCTCTTGAATGCTACAGTAAGCATATAAGTTGACTTTCCTCGGGAAAGAGACAGGATGAACCTGCATTAGTTCTGAAACACTATTTCAGGAAATAAGCAGTATTTGTTGGAGGGAGTAGACAGGGAGGTTCGAACAGTATTGATTCACTTTGTTTTACGCGACTGAAGAACTGCATGCGTAATAAAGAATGGCTGACAGATTTTTGCCAGAGTTCATAAACATTATCAACTTTGTAAGTTTGTCCTAAGTTAACTAGGGAACGATTATTTTCATTTCTCAAGAATGACATTACATGACAAGACAGATGAATTTCACAACTGTGATGCAAAGAATTACACACACCACAAAAACAATAGTCTGCCTTTCAGGCACTCCTAGTCAGCAACCTTAAAGACAACTAAATTATATGATCATGCTTTAGACAGATTAATGATGCCTTCCTTGTTTTTAATTTAAGATTCATATTCAAATATAAATTGAAAGATTAGCTATTTTATTAAAAGTTGCTAACTGTATAAAATTCCCACATGGTTTTGCTAATGTATTTCTGTATTTTGCAACTGTAACAGTTCCTAAGAGAAGCTCAGACTGGAATAGCAATTACTGCCACATTATGTTGTGACTCTGTGTACATAAAAGATTAGCAAGACATTCATTTCCAAGACTTTTTCCACTTTTAACACACACAAAAGTAAAAAAGGGAAAGGTTTACCGCTCAGACAACTTATGACTAATGAACAGGATTTTAATAAAACCATACCAAGAATATGTTTGTAGAATGACCTCGTGAAGTAAATGTTCACCAACTGCCTGTGATTCAGAGCTAGCCCCAAGATCTGGCCTGCGAAACGGAAGTAGTTCAAATGATCTGGATTTACAGAAGAGTTGCTGTTGGGCTGGAAAGTTGTTCCTATAAAATAAAAAGGTTACCATGTTACATGATTTTTTTTTTTTTTTTTAAGTGAAGTTCATATTTATCAAATACACTAAGCATCTGAAACCACTGAGAGAGTTTTATTTTGGCATTCTGGAAGATTGTTTGTGGTTTTTTGTTTACACCAAAAAGACATCAGAAAGAAATGTATTAGAATGTAATGACAACTTATTATTACAATGATACTGCTTAGCCACTCTCCAAGGCACCACTCAAATAATTATCATCAACATAAGGGTAATTATGATCTAAATTTGGTCCTCCATCTTACTATATTGCCAAGTGCATTTTTTGCTCACTCTAATGGGCCACGCTTCTATCAACTTGTGAACATGCTCAAAAGGAAGGATCAGAATGCATCCACTTCCTTTCATCTGGCTTCAGCCAGATACAGACAGGAGACAGTCCAGTCCTGGTCTCCTTGGAAAAGACCGCCTCAAACAGACATCCCTGAACTTTTCCTTTTAACTTTCAGGAACTAATCTATACCTCTACTGTTGACTGAATCCCTTGCCACTTCCCAAGACTTTGTAAGGTAGAAAGCAAAACATTATCACTGATGATGATGTGAAATCTTTTATTGATAAAGATTTGCTCTATGAAGCACCCAAAAGACAAAAAGTCAAATACAAGGTAGACCGGTGGAGATCACCATCTGGTTTTACCACAAAAATTAACTGCTGAATTTGTGGATTTCTAAAAGGAAATAAAGTAATACCTCCACAGTTCCCTTGCAGAAGCAGAAGAAAGGAAAACACTTTCTATACTGCTCTCAAAGTGTTATGTCCTACTACTACCAGGCAGAAATAGCATGGACTCAAAGCCAACAACTCACTCTCCTCTTACAAAAAAGGAGAACAAAATCAAGGAAACTTCAAATTAAAAAAATATTTCATCTGTAGTTATAAAAACGTACAGTTAATAGATCACTTCTCTCTATATATGAGATCAATTCTGTCAGTGTTGCTTTTTAAAAGTACAAACTTATATTCTGAAACCAATTAAGGGATTTTTTTCTTGGATTATAAAAATGCTTTTATAAAAGAAGACACCCTAAAATTAGGGGAAAAAAAGGCAGAGACATACCATCAGCTGACTGGGTAAATAAAGCGTAATCTGGGTTAACTATTTCACTGGATAGGATATCAAACCACTCACGCACCACACCCTGTCCCTGCACGTCAAAAGAATAAAACATATTAGTACATAGAACTTTCACTGCACAAACAGTTATAATGGGTAACCACATATTTCTTACTGAAGTATAAAAGTTATTTTAAATTAGGATTTAAACAATACTTGTGAAAGAGAATTAGTATTTCCATATATAAATACCATAAAGGAAAAACATGCAATTTTACCCACCATGCCTTCCTCTCCATGAAATCTCACAGCAATCCCCTGCTTTAGTTTTGCACAATTTGCTTTAGACACAACTTCACAGCTACTCCTAAAAATAGAATCTAAGTACAAAGCACCAATTAATTTTTATCTTAATTCATTCTATTTCAATGTATTTCAAGGATATACTAATTCTGTTTACAACACAATACCTCTGTGAACCAAAAGGATGTCATTTTCATTGACAGGCCTGTGCACCATGTCCGAATCTGGCTGCCCAGCATGCAGATGTTCATAGAACCATTCACAGCGATCTTTAAATGGCTACAAAACAAGGGGTAAACCACATCATATAGATGCATTGAACTGAATAATTCCTCTCTCATAAGCATGACTAGAAAATGGTTATGCATACTTCATTTTTGAGATGCGTGGAGAGTTACTCAGTGCTACCTCAATACGCTACACAGTATTTTGGGAAGAGGAAAGGACTAGACATGCCCTTGAGTGCTTGCTGAAGACTGGTATGCAGAAAGACTAGACCACCAGTTATCTAGAAATAGCTATCAAAGTTCACTACACAGGAGAAAAATAGCGGGTGGGGAGGGCGGGTAGGAATCTAGATTAAGAAGTAAGTCACTGGCTTCTGTAACACTACTATCAAACACAGCTGAGCACAGAAGCATAAGTGATATAAACAAGTCATATTTGTAGCACAGTTCATTGACAACAAAAAACAGCCCAACGGAACCAGAAACCTTCCACAGCAATTCCTAGATGAGAAGGTCCTAGCTTGTTTGACTCAGTATTTAGATTGACATTTTGCAGTTCTTCTGAGACAGATATGACACAAGTACGGCCTCTCTCATCTATCATGATTCACAGCACGTACTTTTAGTTGATCTAACAAACAGGGTATCAGTTCTCAGGGTCTCTTCATTATTCATAGGCAATGAATTTCAAAAACACACATTTCAACCAAAGAATAAGTAAACAACACACCTACACAATGTCCTAAAAATGAAACTGGATTACCAAAAACAATGTACATCCAAAAATAAAGGCACAGTACTGTTCACAGCTACAGAAATAAAGCTTTTGGAACAGACTCTCAATAATTATTGGGGGGGGGGGTTGTCTGGTGGTTGTCTGGTTGGTTAAAGGAACTTTACCTTTGTTTTCAGCAAATTCTGTCTTTGACCAAAATATTTTAATGTAAGGAACCTAATACAGAACAAAGCAAAAGTACACCAGTGTGCGCTACGTGAAGGAGTTCCAAATAGCTCATTATCGTCCAAAGATCATCTTCATTTGTAATAGACCAAATATACAGCTCTCTCTGAGCTACATGTAGACAATCATGATCTTTTAAAGTTAAGTGATGAAAACGTGGCAGATGCTTAACACTACAGTGTTACGTAAAGCAGCAGACTTCCATATGGGTGTTTGCTCGCTAATTTTTCCACTTAACTACACTAGTTTTCCCTAGAGTAACTCTTCAGTCTTGAATTCATGTCCCATGTTAAACTGAAAAGTGAGTTTAGGTTATGCAAGACATCAGGATAATATTAAAAAAAAAACCTCAAACAAACAAACAGAAATGGTAGGAAAAAGCAAAGGGTAACAAGACAACATGATGTTTCACTGAAGGAGCTGCCACTAATTAACTATGGCCAAACCAACTAATAGTGGTGTATTTATACTCTGGTTTGTCCAAAATGTAAGTCAATTAAGGAAAAAGCACAGCATTTTAAAGCTCAATCTATATGTGCACAAATAGATTTAATAATAGAACATTAACTCTGTTTAACTGGAAGTTGGACTTGCAAGACATATTTAACATTGGTCATCTTAAATAGACATACACATGAATTTTAAACACTTCAAAGTACAGAAATCCAGCTGCTATGTCTGTTTAATCTGATCTTTCAACATCCCAGATGGGATGTGGCACTGGAGGCCACACTTAGTTCTTCCATCCTTTCCAAATGGATTTTTTAAAAATATTATTTTTAAACAAAACACCCTCTTTATATTCATAGAAGCTGTAACTAAGCATCTCCTGACATTTACCTGAGCTTTTATGATGTGCATAAATCTGGACATTAGTTCAGGACACTCAAGAAGAAAATGAAAGTGATCAAAAATTATTTTGGGATTTCTGAAAGAAAAATAGGTTAGAAGCCTATTAGTCAGAGATCTAATAATAATGCTTCATGACACACGAAGTCCACGTAAAGAGACAATGCAACTAGTCAGACAGAAAGTTTCCAGACTCTTCTATTTCGTAATGTTTTCCTAACTCTTGTTTCCAAATGACTTATAACACCTCATCCTTTGAGCATGGAGGATATAAGCAAGGTTATAAACTGGGCAGTCCCAGAGAAACTCTGGAAACAGCCAAGTGTACAAAGATGACTTTAAAAAGTCATTAAGTATAACAACTTTGAGGAAGAATGAAAGTTTTCACCTGTCTCAAAAAGGAGGGCTTTATTTGGACAAAGATGAGGAAAGAATACATTAAGGAAATTATTCTGTTGCTCTGTGAAAAAGATTTTGTTCACAAAATCTCACAGAATCTTACAAAAGGATTGCTTACATATGCAGAAGAGTTCATTTAAGCCTGAGCTCTGGATCATTAATACACACTCCCTTGAATTTGGCAGGACCATTAAAGTGCATATGACACATAATGTCACAATAATAGCCTAAAAATACAACTCAGTAAGAAGAAAAATACAAGTCTGAATTATTGGGGGGGACAGAGGAGGGAGAAATTAAATTCCATATTTCTTAAAGCTTACCGGTTAACAAAACACTTAAGGACATCATCGTGTTTACAGACAAATTCTATAAAACGAGGCGATGTCATCCTGTTCAAAGAAAATCATAAGATGCTTTTGGTTAATGAAATTAAAAAGAACTTGAATTACATAAATTGTTGGGTTTTTTAATAAAATACTACGCAAATTGAAACTAATGTTGTTTAACTAGTCAATCATGAAATGAAATACTCAGCAACATTAAGATTTCATAATAAACTAATAGAAAAGGCAAAAATGCCAATAATAAAGAAGATCAAGCAACCTGATCACTAACTGTTATTAACTATATGAACAAAAAAGCTCAAACTAATGGAGAGACATTTTTCTATTGAATCCTTCCAGCTTTCAGTACAACAATGGAAGTACATATATGGAAGGACTGATATTATATGCACAATATACACGATATGCACATTGTTCTATATTCTTGTTCATTGTATAAAACTCCCACCATGCACCTTAAATTGTGGTAAGTGAGGAAGAGAGCCAGGAAGAAATAACATTACAAACTCAGCAAGCTTAATAATGGGGGCAAGGTGGTATTTAATGGCTTCGTGAAATAACAAAATTACTTGCCAGGCAAGCGTCTCATACACCAGTATGGAATTTTTTTTTTTTCTCCTATATATATATGGAGAACAAGGGAAGGATTAACATGGGTGCAAATTTTATTCCATTTATTTACATCTATGTTCTGCATTTTTTAAAAAGAGAAATTTTTAACTGGATCCTTTAACTTCAGCAAAAGCTAATGAATACTTGCAAACAAGAATAAAGCCCTCTCATCAAGTGCCTTGAAAGGTTGTGAAAAATAGTACTTAAAGAAGTCAAGATAACAATCCTAGAACTGTCGCTGTTCCCCACACCAATTTAGACAAGAGCTGCTCATTTTATATAAAACTGAGCTATTTTCCTTCTCTCCCTTACTCTGTTTTTGAAGAAACAAGTCTCACCATATCCTTCCCCTCATTCACACAAAAAACAAACAAGCAAATAAAATCTTCCAGAGACGAAATATGAACATTTTAAACACACTTCTTGTCTGAGAGACGATATGAAAGTATTAAACAACTAAAAGAGCAAATGAACTCTCTCTACCTGTAAATTGCCATACAAGCTGTAAAATGCAATATACAAAGAAGAGAAAAAAACCTTCAGTTTTGATGCTGAAAACTCGGAACATTGTATTTCAGTATATTAACAAAGAATGCCCAGATTCAATATCAGCATTTGCAGAAGAAAAGCAATTGTGGCAAGTAAAAGAAAATAACCTCAATATTTCAAATGTTAACCAGCTAATTTCCCATTTAAGCATGAAATGCCATCTTTATTGTATGAATATTAGCAACAATGGAAGCTATGAGCTCTGTTTACTCTCCTCCATTAAACATAAAGACACTCAAATCTAAAATCAGAGTAATTTTAAATTATTTTGTCTGAAAATGTCATTTGTTATAATTTCAAATGTTATTTGAAGATGGCAGCAGTACTGAGTTACACCATTGTGCCATTTACTCCTACCAACATGAAAACTTCAGTAAAACAGAGTAAGTCTCAGATCTTTGTACTTCTCTACACAGTTCTGAAAAGCCCTAAAGCAACACAGAATTCAGGTGTGCTCTGCCTTACTTTCCTGCATCCCAGGGATTTCTGCCAGTTGTCACTGAAACAGTTCTTACTCTCCTGGCTTCTGTGATAACTCTCAATTAAACTGATGTAGTATCCACAGGAGTTCTCCCTAACCTGAAGCGTAAATTATGCATAGGGATAGACCCATTGGGCAAGGCCCATCAGCAAGTCACCTGGACACAGGGAGACAGTCACCTCTCTGATTGGATTTTGGTATAAAGGGATAAATTGGTGGGAAAAAGTACTTAACCACTTCTATAAACATTTCTGCTTTTCATCTGGCTGCTGTAAATAATACTGGCATTTTATCTTAGCAAGGTTTGATGGAGATTTTCAAGGGAAATGGCTAACCAGCAGTTCCGTTTTCAAGCTGAAGTAAAATTAAAAGTTGAAGTACTGAGGTGCTTGTGGAACATGCTGATTGCCAGATCATGTTCCAGAGTGTCCACAGAGGAGTGTGCCCCAGGCAAACAGTACTGGCTGACTTGAAAGCTTTTATTCCACTAGGTTTGGCAGAGAAAGAAAAACCCTTCCAGTGGCTAGGAATAACCAAGAGTTGTCATGTAGTGGGGAACCTTGCTTCCAGATTCCTCAGGGAGCTTGTAATACCATCATACTTGCCTAATCCTCCACTCAAGAGGGTCAAAGGATCCTTTCCTTGCAAGTTCACAAATACAATCCATAACAGCCTTGGACAGACTAAGATCTCAGTTACAGTGGACACACTTTTTTCTTTTTAAACCAGACACTGATGATATTAAATTTACCTAAATTGTAGTGCCTGTTCCATACAAAACGGTCTTTGCCAACCCAGTCAGGATTCCAAATGAGCATTACTTTGAGATTGAACTCTCCTTATAAACTTCTGCAATATAGCCAAACAAGTTTTGCCCCAGCTGTCATTTTCATACACAGAGATAATTCACATTTTTTTCTGAGCTTATAGCTGTTGTTGGATAATCACATTAAATTTAGGGGTAATTTCACATTAAGAATCAATAGCAGAAACAGCTAAGTTTCAAGAGATCAAAATTACATTCCCTGCAAGTATCCTACATGATTAAAAAGAGCCGTTAGACATTGAATATAAAATCTGCCCCAACACAGTTACGCTCACAGGTAGCACCACTATGGAAAATTTAAAATTTGATGTGCTGTCTGGTGCCATTAAAGCTGAAAAAAAGCATTCAAATAATTGAACTAGTGAAAGCATTTAAAAGCATACCCTTGACTGTCACTAATATCACCTGGTCAGCACCAACGTTCTTCCAAGAAAGCATATATGCTTTTAAAGTGGCAACAGTTTTGGCAACAAACAGGATCCCCTCCTTACCCCTGAGGCATCTGACAGGAGCAGCACATATAAAAGGCTTGAATGACAGCACTTAGCCTGTTCGCTGTCATGGAGATAACATCCTGGCAATCAGCACAAGCTTCCTGCTTCCCGGCAACATCGTATGTTTTTGACTCGCCAGTGTCAGTGGATAACTCTTTTCTGCCCTCGGTTCTTGCAGCAGCAAAGGCAGGCGTAGGAGTGGCATCCTGGTGATCTGGTCCTTTTTGCTTCAGTAATATAGAAGTAATGTTAGAAGAGTCCCTTTTGTTTTTCATCAGCTCCGTGGCTATAAGAACGAGCCATTCATCTAGAGAATGCCAGAGCAGTTCCAGCGGCTGCAATAAACACATGCAAAAACAGACAAAAAAGGAACGTGTTGACATTAGATAGTATTAATGATGTGATAATCCTCTTCAGGCAAATAAATATCATGCACATTTAAAAGCTTTAAATGATCCTTTAGAAGTCATGTTAGAGATAAGAGTCAAATACACATAAAAAATTCTGTACTTGCAGCCATAGAGCACAAAGAAAATTTCATATAGAAGAAAAATAATCAAGCAGCAGATGGAATAAAGATAAAATAATTTAGAAAGGGTGAAACCCTGAACTATTTAACAGAGTTTGGCCTCACAGGTGTTACACAGCACACTACTGCCTGACTGCTGCAGTCAAGCAGGGAGACAGTAATACACATGTTGAGTTTCCAGAATAAGAGCGTACCCGTTCTTTTTTAAGGCCCTGGTCAAAGCAGCTCCCTCTACCAGGTAGATGGAGCAAACCCCAGACAATGCCACTGAGATTCAGACTCATGCACATATCTAGCAAGATGTGCTTTATGGACAGTGTGAGCTCATTTTGGTAGTGTCTCAGATGTCTTAGACTAAGGGTCACTAATACCTAGCTTTATGAAATAGAAACAAGTATCAGTAGAATCACATATCAATTTTTAAAGCTATAAAATTTTATTTTAACAAAGTCACTCTTTTTTCTACCACCAGCTTAAAACCAATGTAATTGAAAGCAGGTACAATTCCATCATTACACATTTGGTATGAGGTGCAGGCCTACTACAGAGGAGAGAAAGGGCTGAGAGACCTGTGGCTTTCTCAAGAGCATTTCAAAAAAAACATGAGAGCTGACTGTGCTGTCCCTTCATGGTATTTAAGGGGATGTTTCACAAGCATACAGTCTAGTGAGCACAGGGATGTGTATCCTGCAGGGAGGCAATTCTGACTCAAGTCTTTCATTGCATTCCAAAAGTGAGAGTGAGCTTCTAAATACACTCCTTTTTCCATATATTACTGTTGCATCAACACTTTTCAACAATTAAAGCATTCAAAGACTTAGCAGACACTGCAAATTATGCTTTCATCTTCTAAAGTTGCCTTTAAAGATTAACAGCTATTCACAGCACACCATATCAGAAGTCTACACTATCTGGAGCACTGCCAGTACACCTAATAGTGACACGCTGTCAATACAGAATAAATTACTTCTCATAAAAGTTGTGTATTAAAAAAATTCTCTTGCAATTTATCATTAAAAAAATTTACTGTTATGCTTCCATTTTTTCCCCAATAAGAAGTCTGGGGAAAGCCAGCCTGATCTATAAGACTGGTAGGCTTTGCTCAACATACTGTTTGAGACACACTTAATCCTTGTACTGCTAGCAACCACACACTTCTCTAGATGGTGTTCTAAATACCTCCAATGTAGGTACCATTTTCTACATAAATGTCTGCATACAGGATCAAGTTAGCTTCTTCCCAAGACCTACCTGGGAGACTTTCACCACAAAACATAATGTAGAGGAACTTTCTAATGGAAAATAGGATTCACTGAATATATGGAAGAATTAAAATGCAGCTGTGTTCTTAACATGTAACTCACAAGAAACTAGTTCCAAATAGTAGTTTTCTATTATAATAGAAATACCAAAATGTAGTTTTCTTCTCCCAAACTTTTTAATGCTTAACTTGCCAAACACCATTTTTCCGCTGGTATCTTGTGTTTTATCTTTTATTTCCCACAGACTTAGCATACCTTTCAGAACTCTTGCAACTGATTTGTTTTTCCAAAGCTAGTTTTTCACAAATTCTGATCACAAACTCATTCAAAAGTGTAGTCAAGCATAGCAACTTCAACATTTCACTTTCCTTTTTTCTAGTCTAACTTCAGGATGTAAAGCACTCCTCTAAATATTGCCCACCACCTCCATGCCCACGGATGTCAGCATTTTATGTTATGATCAGATCTTTTCAAGTATAATATGGACACACTCAATCAAACCATTAGCAACATTTTTTCAAAACTACAAGTCAGCATTCTTCAGCCAACTCTTACCATGAACCGCATATTAAACACAAATCTCCGCTCAATCTTCAGTTTTCGTATCTCACATTTCAGAAAAGTTTCTTTGGAATTATACACCTGAGTCTGATGAAGTACCAAGCTTTTACAGCTACACGCCTCATCTCTCAAATGCAAGGATTTAGCTATGCAACGCTCTTTACCCATATAGAAAGCAAGACACTAGAAATCAAACCCATACTCAAACTGCGACATTGGAGCAAAATCTTTTGCCAGGTCACAGATAGTTAGTCTTTTAAGACACAGGGAGCAGGAGATCACTAATCCATGAAGTGACCACGTCACAGCACAGAATTCAATTCAATTCCAAAAAAGAATAGTATCTGAAATGAGGGAAAAATGTTATGGGCTTCCCAACTTTGTTCAACTAGACAGGAAGATTTTGCAGCAACTTTCCTTAATACGTAATCATACTGAACAGCAACTGGAAGAGCGATACATGAAAAAGTAATGAATGCAAACCTGGTCAAAATTACTATTCATAAAGTTTCTCACTGGTAAGATCTCATTTGAGTTAGCAGTAGCTTGTTTCAAGATTGGGTGTCAAAATTCAATGGCCATTTTGTTTCTTGCAAGATCAGTACAAGAATGTGTCTTAATTAGCTAGTGTTTCCACTTTAAAGCATTTGGATAGGCCTGAACTGACCAGGCCTGTAATGAACTACTGTCCTGGTTTCAGCTCAGATAGAGTTAAATTTCTTGCTAGTGCTGTGTTTTGGATTCAGTATGAGAAGAATGTTGACAACCCATTGATGGTTTTAGTTGTTGCTAAGTACCCTATAGTCAAGGACTTTTCAGCTTCCCATGCACAAGAGGCTGGGAAGAAGCTACAGTTGCTAGCCCTTGTTGTCGTGGGGGACTTCA